TATTTATAGAAAATACAAGACCTAGAATACTTGACCTAATGGGCTAAGCCCAATACAACAAAAAATAAATAAATAATATTAATATTTACAACACTCCCCGTCAAGCTGAGAAATAGATATTTATCATTCCCAGCTTGCTAGTAAGCTCTTGAAATCTATCTGAAGGAAGTCCCTTTATCAATGCATCAGCTAATTGACGCCTGGTGGGAATGTAGGGTGTGGTAATCAACCCGCTATCAAGTTTCTCTTTGATGAAATGGCGGTCGACCTCAATATGTTTAGTCCGATCATGTTGAACCAGATTATGAGCTATACAAGTAGCTGACTTATTATCACATAGCAGCTTCATTGGTCCCTCACATTTTATTTTGAGATCATCGAGTATAATTTTCAGCCATAGTAACTCACAAATGCCTTGAGCCATGGCTCGAAATTCAGCCTCTACACTTGATCTGGCAACCACATCTTGTTTCTTACTTTTCCATGTCACCAAGTTACCACAAAGAAACATACAATAACCAGTGGTAGAACGACGGTCCGTCACAGATCCAGCATAATCAGCATCAGTGTAGACTTCTAAAGAGAGATTACCATCTCGCAGGAATAACAGTCCTTTACCAGGAGTAGCTTTAAGATACTGAAGAATTCTCTCCACTGCCTGCATGTGTTTCTCCTTTGGATCATGCATAAACTGACTGACAATGCTAACAGCATAAGCTAAGTCTGGTCTAGTATGGGCCAGATATATCAATTTTCCAACTAGCCGTTGATATTGTCCTTTATCAACTGGAGGACTCTCCTCTTCAAAGCCTATCTTGTGATTCTGCTCAATAGGAGTATTAGAGGGTTTACACCCGAGCTTTCCTGCTTCTTTGAGAAGATCCAAAACATATTTCCTCTGACTGATAAAAATTCCTTTGCTTGAATGAGCTACTTCTATCCCTAAGAAATATCTCAATTTCCCACGGTTTTTGACTTCGAACTCAGAGGCAAGTTGTGTCTGCAGAATTTGTCTCTCCACAAAATCATCACATGTGATAATAATATCATCAACATATACAAGGAGCACAGTAAGCTTCCCATTTTGGGAGTGCTTGAAGAAAAGAGTGTGATCTCCTTGACTCTGTCTGTATCCTAAGGTCATCATAACCTTAGTAAACCTTCCAAACCAAGCACGAGGTGACTGCTTCAATCCATACAAGGCCTTTTTTAATCTACAAACTTTATTTTTCCCCTTCACAGAATCAAAACCAGGCGGGATTTCCATGTAAACTTCTTCTTCTAACTCACCATTGAGGAAAGTATTTTTCACATCAAATTGATTTATATCCCAATTGTAATGGGCAGCAAGGGATAACAAGATTCTCACCGTATTCATCTTTGCAACTGGAGCAAAGGTTTCTTCATAATCAATGTCATAGGTTTGAGTGTAACCTTTGGCGACTAATCGAGCCTTGTATCTCTCAAGAGTGCCATCAGAATTATATTTCAGGGCATAAACCCATCTGCACCCTATTGCTTTCTTTCCGTTGGGTCTATCAATAACCTCCAATGTTTTATTTTTCTCCAACGCATTCATCTCCTCTTGCATGGATTGAGCCCAATTCCCATCTTTCAAGGCTTCATGTACTGATTTTGGGATTGCAATAGAATCTAGTGTTGAAACAAAGCTTTTGTGCTGCACAGAAAGATTAGCAGAGGAAACAAAGTGGGAGATAGGGTATTGAGTACAAGAGGGACATGAGGAACAAGTTTTCTTGTGACAAGATCTTTTTCCTTTTCTAAGAGCAATGGGCAAATCATCAGAATCAACATTAATGGGTAACTCATCAGAAGTATTAACATCATGATCAGAAATATGAGATTCAGGAGAAACAGTAGACTCAGAAGAAACATGAGATTCAGGACTTACCAGTGGTTCAGACGATTGAGGTTGCTGGTGAGACAGTATGGGTTGTTTCCTCCTCTGATATACCAATTTAGGTGTCAAAATTTTCCGTATCTCAAGTGTATTTGAAGGTTCTGACACACCACGAGCAGATACACTAGGACGAGTCTTCTGAAGAACTGTTCTCCCCCTGACGATGAGGACCCAGGAAATAAGATTCAGATTCTTGAAAGGTGACATCCATGGAAACAAATTTTTTTTGACTTGGTGGATGATAACACTTGTACCCTTTTTTATAAGGGGTATAACCAAGGAAGATACACTTAAGAGCCCTAGGATCCAACTTACTCTGATGTTGTTTATGAACATGGACAAAGGCAACACATCCAAACACTCTTGGTGGAAGGCTCTGCAATATGGGAACAAAAGGAAAGAAGGAAGTCATGGAATGAATAGGACTGATATTGTTAAGGACCCGTGAAGGTAAACGGTTGATCAAAAAAGTTGCAGCTAACACTGCTTCTCCCCAATAAGAACTAGGAACAGATGTCTGGAAAAGTAGTGCTCTAGCAACTTCAAGGAGGTGACGATTTTTCCTTTTAGCAACCCCGTTTTGTTGAGGGGTATCAACACATGTGAGCTCATGAATCATACCTCTGTCTGAAATGAATTGTGACAGGCGTTGATTGACGTACTCAGTACCATTATCAGATCTGAGTCTTTTAATACCCTTACCAAACTGAGTCTCAACATGTGATGAAACCGAATAAATATCTCTGGTACTTCAGACTTGTCTTTCACCAAGTATATCCATGTTACCCGAGTACAATCGTCAATAAAAGAAACAAACCACCTTGCACCTGAAACACTGTGCACTTTAGAAGGCCCCCAAACATCAGAATGGATAAGAGAAAAAGGTTCCCTGCTTTTAATAGTGCTAGAAGGAAATGACACTCGATGGTATTTTGCAAATTCACAAACATCACAATGAAAGGTCTCAACCGACTTATTGAAAAACAGAGAGGGGAACATAGACTTCAAAAGACTAAATGATGGATGCCTCAGACGCTTGTGATGGAGCCAAATCATAGACTCTGCAGTAGAAGGATGACGTGTCATTAATAACTGATTTTTGCTAGCATTGTCTGGAAGGAGATGATACAACCCATCCTGTTCATTAGCAACTCCAATTGTCTTCTTCGTGGTAAGATCCTGAATAACACAATGAGAAGGAAAAAATGTGATAGAATAATTCAAATCAGTTGTAAGTTTTTGAGTGGAGATAAGATTAGTAGAAAGCTGAGGAACATAAATAACATTTTTAAGAAACAAGGAAGGTTGAATTTGAATGTTACCAGAACCAATAACTGATTTATAGGATCCATCAGCTATGAATATAGTATGACTACCAACAGTAGGATGATAAGAACAAAACAACTCAGTACGACAAGCCATATGTTCAGTTGCACCAGAATCCAAAATCCATGAGGTTTTAAAATCAGTGCAAGAAGCAAGAAGAGATATAGAACGTGTGCTCTTACCAGATAAGATCAAAGAACTGTCATTCTCGGCCATTCTTCAAGACAAAAGTTAACAACCAGCGATAAAATCAACCAAACAAATTATCAAATGAAGTCCGATCAGTGAAACAATCACAGATCCAGACAGAGAACAAGGAGACGAGAAGAATGGCGGTGGTCCGATCTGGAAAAATGGTCTCACGCGCCTCCACGCGCCGGTGAGACTGGCTGCGCGTGGGCTTCACTCGCGGATGAAGAGGAGGCGCGTGTGGGCGCGTGCAGTGGCCGTCCGGGCTGAGACTTCTGGAGCAACGTCGTCCGGCGAGCGCGGTGCTATCAGGGTCTGGTCGGAGTTGAAAATCCACTGGAAAAGTGTCCAAACGTGATGAACAGGAATCTGAGTTCAACGTCTGTGAGTTTGCTTGGCAGGTTCTGTACAAGACCAAGAATAAGGAAGAGGAACAGTGGATCAATGATGAGGAACAGTAAAACAGTGATCTTCTCTGTCCAAAAGGTCCCTGGAAAAATATTTCTGGTGGCGGCTGATGGCAGCGAGAGACGAAAAAAGAAAGAATAAAAGGTTTGGTAGGCGCGGAAGCAGAGCCCTCAGGATCGAGAGCTCTGATACCAACTTGAAAAGAGTGATCAGAAAAATATTATTAATTGTGTGTAAATAATTTGTACAAAGGTTCTCTATTTATAGAGAATACAAGACCTAGAATACTTGACCTAATGGGCTAAGCCCAATAAAACAAATAATAAATAAATAATATTAATATTTACAACATTTAAAATTTAAATAATTTTTTTCTGTGTCTGTCTCTGTCTTAAAAGGACAGAGTGTTATGTCATTTAAAATGACAAACACTTTTCCGTTAAATATAATATGTGCTACCATTAATTATACCATTATAGTAAATTATATAGTATGGATTATTAGAATGTATTAATAAGCTTCTCACATATCAAAATTTGTACAAAATGTTAATTTAAAAATAAAAATAGGATTTTGGCAAAAAATTTATAATATTCAATTATGAAATTAACACTCATATTAGTCTTCTCTCTTTATTTTCGCTGCTGCTTAATATGTTTCTCGGATAACCTTTTGCTTTTTCTTTTTCTTTATTTATTCCCACAAACCTTTGTCGTGTCGTTTTTAAAATAGCTCCATAAATCAAATGGTTGAGAGTTCTTTAATTTTTCCATCTATTTATTTTTCAACCCCTTTATATTTTTTTAAAAAATTTATCCAATACGATAATTGAACTATACATGAACATGCAAAATCAATTGGGAAACAAATGTGATGAAAAACAAAATGACAACTTAAAAATAATGGAATTACCAATTTAATTTTTATATAATGATTTTGGTATTATTTTGGAGGCACAAAATACGATATTCACAGATAATTTAACTAAAGAAGTACCTGTTACTAGAATATCTAAATTCTTATCCTATATTGGCCAACCCATCTATTTAAACGAATGGGCTGCAAATTTCAGTTGTGAATGAAATCATTCATAATTGAAATTTCTTCACTAAATATTTTCCATTGTTGAATTTTATATGATAAACAGGGGGCCTTAATGAAAGTTAACAATTTAACAGGACGCATTTTCCACAACTTATTTTTTTATTTTTAATTTGGTACAAGACACATTCAACATTTTTTACAAGATAGACAAAGTTTGGCCATTTCCCCTAATAACTATTTAAAGCTAACAGTTTCGGCATCATTTGCAACATATATAACTAAAAGCATGCATAAAGTTAGACTAAAACATAAGAGATGGAAATCTCAAGCAGAATCATGGGCCTTGCAAACAGGTAAATCATCTTTGAAATTTGGAGGCACTCTTAGGATTGGATTTCTCTCAAAGAAATTGACAGGCTTCAGATCGAAACTTGATGATACAGTAGGCATGATAGGGTAGTCCTCTTGACATGGTATGTGATGGAACCCTAATGTGTACCACAACACAATGTCCTTATTCTCAATTGGACGATCCCTGCAAATTAAAATATCACAAATTTGAGAAATTTATCAATATAATTGGTGTCATGACTAGTCAAATCAGACACCAAATTCCAATTCACATTTACACTAAATAATAACAATGCCTTAATGAAATGATAAAATCAAGATTAAAAGTTGGAAAGATAATGTACAAATTGTAGAGTGTAGTAGACTATGTTTTATACATGTTTAGTTAACTAAATTATGGAATGCCAACTCGCTGTGTTGGATTTAAGTTTTGTTGAAAAAGTTTGTTTCTAATTCTCTGTCAGTGTGTTGGTGATTGATTTCATCTAGGCAATTTTATTTGAAGTGAAAAAAAAGAAGCATTAGCTGAGTTAGTAGTTTCACTTTCACCAACTTGTGTTTATTGTGACACTTTCAAGCATGTTGGGCACAGTTTCTTTTTCATCCTGAACCGAATTGGTATAGTGATTTAGTTCGTTCAAATCCAACGAATTTAGCAAAATAATTTCATTAATAAATTAATTAAAAAATATTCATTTTAAAATCAGTTTAGGAAAAAAAAAATATTTATAAGGTAGTTCAATTTGGTTTTATGATTTTTTCAAACTGGTTCAATTCAATTCGATAATTATCCTAAACCAAACTAAATTTATAAAATGGTTTGGGTCGAAGAACCAAACCAATTTTGTAATAACCCAAAAATCTTGTACTCGAAATTAGCCTAATGAAATGAAATGAAAAGGGATCAAGTCCATATTCAGTGAACGAGTAGCTTTGAATAAGCAACATTAGTCCTAAACTAGAACCCACTTTAAATAAGATAATTAATAACTTAGCCAATGTGAGTTAAAGCCCAAATAAAGTTAAAGCCCAACCTACTAAGAATATGATTAAGTTAAAGGATTTAAGCCCAAAGCAATGCAAGGCCATTTTATAAGAAATGGCTCAATTAGTATCTAGACCAAGATCCAAGCCCACACCACCTAGTCTTGACCCAATTACAAATGGTCCAACACTTATTAACTTAATGGGCCAAGACACTCACCAAGCCCAACTCAATTCAAAGGAACAACCCTAGATGAGGTGTCATCACATGATTGGAGGAATTTGAATGAGCTCCACCACCCCTACAATAGCAAACTCGGCCATGACAAGAAGAAAAGGGAGTGGTGTTGCTTTCCACACTCCCTAGGCGCCATTTAAGGAAGGAATGGACAAGTAAGAGCTTGAGTAAGACACACTCCAAGCCTTAACCATGCATGTGATTTCCTTTCTCCAAAAGCAACTCTACTTTCCATACCCACCTTGGATGACGCAAAATGATGGAGAAAGGAAGATTGCTTCTTCCACACTCCAAGCCTTAACCATGCATGTGATCTTCTCCAAAAAGCAACTCACCTTTTCTCCTTACACACCTTGGAGGGCGCACTCATGACAAGGAAAAGGGAAACTTTCTTCTTACACACTCAAGCCATGCATGCCATCTTACAAGGTCAAATCTTCCTCCTCCCTAGGCATACACGGTCACCAAGGGAAGTCACATGAACAAATCCCTCTCACTCCTCACTCCTCACGGCCACATCACTCAAGGAGCCAAGAAACCCTAGTGCAAATTCACACTCAAACCCTTCTTGAATCAAGTGCCAAGTGGAACACATGCATCACCTCTCCTCCTTACACATTCGGCCATCAACAAAGAACAAGGAAAGATTGTTCACACTCCACACCCAAACACCATTCACCACCAATGCATGTAGATAACTTCCCCCACATTCACAAGTTACACTCAAGTACCCTTCACCCAATGCATGTAGATAGCTTTCTATACACTCACAAGTCATAACCTAATATCTCAAGGAAATGATTGCAAGACTTGAATAAAAGATCAAGCAAGGAGCTTCCTCCTCCCCCCTAAGGCCGTGAAGCACCAAGCAACAAGATAAAGGACTTCTTCCTTCTCCTTATTCCCTTAGCTTCGACCATCTCTCTCCTCATCAAGCCAAGCAAGTAAACACTCAAACACTTCATCTCCTTTACTCCTAAGCTCGGCCATAACAAGTAATAGGACCTAAGATCACCTTAAAAATTTTATAAGCTCTTCAAACTCTCTTTCCATCACCCACATATGTAAGGTAAAAGCTTCATCTCATTTTCGTTTGGAAGAAACTAGAGATCTCTAAGTTCCCACTCTCTTCGTGTAGAGAGAAACCAAGAGGTTGTTGGAAGCCACTCCCAACCCTAGAGGACTCCTTGAAGATCAAGTTGGAGTTATATTTTAGACATCATCTTTGAGGTAAGATTTCATGAGCCCTTCATCCCTTCAAGTGAGTAGAATGAACTCTAACTAATTTATATGACTAGATCTTGGACTAATAAAGCCATGCATGCATCTTTCATCTTTAAAATCACCTCTTAAGTATATCATCTCTAAGTGGCCGAACCTCAATGGTATGCATGCACCCTCTAAATATTCACAATATTTACTAAGCAACCTAACCCTAAATGGCCAAATCTATATGTACCCTACTAGATATTGAATATGTTCTTTAAGGTAATATGAAAAGTGTTGAAGTAAATGTTTTTAAACAACATGTAGAAAAGCATTACTTGAAGAATCACCACCTAAATGGCATTAACCCTAAATGGCCGAACTTGATGAGTATTAAACCCATGAACATGTTATCAAAATTATCCCTAGGTATGCACCCTCTAAATGGCCGAACCCTAATAAGCCTAAAAGGGAAATATGTGAATGTTTTCTTAATACCATGATGTATGGCCGAAATGTATGCCATAGAATATGACTTATGCATGAAAACAATTAGTAAAAATTATCTCCTAGGCATTTTCATCCTTAGAGAGCCGAACCTATGACATGAAGGATATTAAAGTTTAGATCTTTTAATTTTAGAACCATGTACTAAGGTTGAATATGTGACTAGGACAAACCAAAGCTTGAAAAGAGATCCAAGATACTAGGACCTTCATTTGGCCGAATCCATCACCTTCGGGAAGAATTTACAAAGCGAAAAAGTGTAAGTGATTTATGGTTGTTGAAGCTTTGCCACCCCTTTATGTTAAAGTGAGGTTTGACTGCAATATGTTATATGATGCATTACATGATATGTTTGGTTGTTTGGAACTAATGTTTATTCATGCAAGTTTTGTAAGATGGCCTGTGCACTAATACCACAGAGGCAACCTGACGAGGACCCTGGGTATTCGTCGATAAGACCATGGAGAGTAATTGCCATGGCATGATTGGTATGATGATATGAAAGCATGATTATTTTTCAAACTATGTTTCCAATGTTTTGCCATTCTATTATTGTACATGTTATTATGTGACTATTGCAGGAGTAAGCATCATGGTTTGGAGATTGCTCCAACTGTGAGTCCTTACTGAGACTCTCAATCTCACCCCTCTTTGGGAAAACCCACTTTCAGGAAAAAATGACAAAATGGGTAAGGCAGGGAAAGAGGTTGATACGAGTTGAAGAGGAACCTGCTCAGCCACGTGCAGTTCATGTTGACTCCAAGCTATTGGAGAAATTTATGAACTTACTATCGGAAGGAAAGCTTTTGGAGGCAGACTATATTATATCTGCTCTAGTTGGGCCCATGTGGCTTGAAGATGCACCTTACTAAGGGTGTACCTAAATTCTAATTTGGGATGACTGTAATAGACTATGCCACTTAGACTATTTTGAACATTTTATATGCGTTTGAAGTACGATATTTTGGGATGTTTATGTTTTATGGACTATGAATTTAGTAGGAAAGATTAAGTAACATAAGTCACTATCCGCATAAGACACTTAAGTAACTACCTACTGGGTAGTAGTCAACACTAAAATTATGATCATGTAAGTGAGCCCCTAAAATAGCGCATAAGTATAAGCAAGGTAACCAAGTAGAGATTAACTTGTAAGTAGACCGTAGACAAAGAAAAAGAGAGACTCATGACTAGAGGAATAGATAAGTTAGGGAAAAGAACGAAATTAATTCCCATTAGTAAATTTTAAGTTAACCACGCTTAAGTACATGGATTCCGCGCATTGAATATCAAGCAATGTTACACCTTTGATGACCTTATTAAGAGTGTTACAAATTTTTAAAAATAACTCCATTCTTCAACCGATTAAAAAAATAATTTAATTCTTAAATCTATTAAGAAATATATTATTCAATTGTACAGTTTGATTCACATGTGATTCCGTTCGGTTTATATGATTTTTTTTCACAACATTTGTATACGGAAATTATTTTCCTAAATTCAACCATGAGTAAGACTTCTAAAATAAAATAATAAAATATAATGTTCCTAAATTGTCCCGCACCTTTTTTTTTTTAGATATTTCAATCGGTTCATCGCTTCATGACTAATTTGATTTGGGGTCCTAATATTAAGACTTTAAATCTCTCTCAAAAATGGTACTGGGGAGCATCAAATACATGTTCTCACTCTCACCTATTCAGTTTCCTACTGAGTTACAATCATTTGATTTTTTCACTCATTTTCTCTCTCTTGATAGTAATGTCCCTTCCTAGCTATTATGTAACACAATTTCCTTTTAGCAAATATGATAGACGTGATTATAGAATTGCCATTGAACCAAATCATGAGAAAGGTAAAAAAATCATGAAAATAATGTCTAACCTGTTGGACCACACTTGAAGAGTATCATCACCTCTACTCTGGTAAACAAATAAGCCACCAGCCAATTGCTCACTCTTGTTGTAAGGAGTGACCCATATTTGGTTATTGGTAAAAGCTGCTCTTTTCTGTGGTGCATCTTCAGGATCCAAAAGACTAGCTGCTGTGGGACCAGGAACCAACTTGTACCCAACAGGGTTCCCTACCCTTGTTTTCTTTGAAGGGTTCACCACATGAAATTCAGATGGGTCATAGAGTTTAAGCCTTATTTGTGCTTCTTTCTCTGTTTTTGCCACATTTTTCACAGCTTTTAGGTAACTCTTTCTTGGTGATTCTCCTGGTGAGGTCTCTTGCTTCTTGATATTTACCTTGACAAATGAATTGTCAGAGCCATCAACGTCCATGTCTAGGTAATATGTGATAAAATGGTCATGGATTACACCAATAATGTTTTCACTTAAAAGGGTTCCGTAGATATTATCTTGGTTGGTAACTTGATTCATGTTCTCATAGGTTGTTCCTTTTACCATCAAGATACCACTTAGTCCAACCTGCATAATAATAATAATAATAATAAAATTTCCTGCATATTAGCGTAAATTATTGAATACAATACGACAAAACATAAACATCAATCTAGAAAAATTCATCCCAATCTTGAGTACAAGTTGACCATTTTTCTATTACACGACAATTTATTGTACAAAATGCACAGATAAGGAGGAATTCTTGAGTAAATTTTGTGGTGTGTGGGAGTATAAATCAGCAAACAGGCCAACATAGGCTTACGGTTCGACTTACATTAAGTCAGACTCAACTTATTACATATAATCAAATAGAACAGATTCAAGTTTAAAAAAAAATTATTTAGAAAATAGACAATATATTTTCTTTTACATACTGGGTCTATAAACTTATAGACTGACTTATATCATATTATATTATTTATTTTAAATAAAATAAATAAATTATTATTTTAATAATTTTGAATAGTAAATTAATATTATTTTAATTATTGAATGCCTAATAAACTTAAACATACTAATAGATTTAGGCTAAATTTTTTTTTTTTAAATATACGTTATGTCAAATTTATTATTTAATCCTACACAAGCTAACAGATCAGATCAGACATAATTTTTTTTATACAAATCAGTCTATTTAAGTCAAAGCTTAAACAGCTTATTTACATGTGTGCACTAGATTAATAAATATTTTTATTATTTTTTATGTCACCAAATATTTAATATATGAAAGCAATGTATCAATTGTTAATTAATATACTGTACATATCTGTATACAAGAAGCTTCCAGCCTAACAGAACATTTTCAGTACTATCTTTATGTTCAGCGGTGGATATAATTCTTATTAAAAATAAAATTATATATTACGTATTTATGTGAATACATAAGTATAATATTAATTTTTCTTTCTTTCTTCAAAAAAATTCCATATAGATATCAAAACATGTCAATACATAACTATTACTTACAGTATTATATTAAAAATTTTCCCGGCCCTACAAAAGTGGTTGGGAATATCAATATCTCATCACCATTCCCTAAACATGAATATAAACAAAGTTGAATTTCGATAACTAACCGTTGCTCTGATTAGCCCATCTGTTTGAAATTCCCAATCCGTGATATAGTCATAGTTTGCCACAGCTGCTGCCATCCTAACCACTAATGTCACTTTTGGCCTCACTTCTGTAACCTGCCAAAATATCATAAACCCAAAGTGACCCACTCATCCAAATTAAAACGTCACTCACTATATATTCAGATAGACAAGTTAAAGCTGTTCAAAAAAAATAAAAATACACAAGTTAAAAATAGGGGAGAATTATATTTATAATTATTTTTTTACAAACTACACTATATATTCATAAAAATACACTAAGTCACATTATGTAATTTTAAGAATATATAGTATAATTTGCAAAAATTTATAAAGAGAACTTTCTCCTTAAAAGTAAAACCCATTAAACACCCAAAAAAACACACCAGATTTGAAGAATAAGTCATCATGATTCATGATTAACGAACTCACAACAAGAAAATCATCAAAATTCACAATTCTATGAATCCGTAAATAGACACTAGAGGAGATATTATGTTCTTAAGATGACTAACCCTCATATATTGGGCTAAGTAGAAAATTGGAATTGAAAAGAGAAATTATCAATTTTAATTATTATCATTATCAAAATAAAAAAAATGTTTCACAAGAATCATAAACACCTTTTTATATGGTGTATGCAATTAAAAGGAAAAGCACAAGATTACAAAAGTAATAGTTAAATAAAAAAGCTTAAAAACACAAAAGAACAAGGCAATACTAGATGCATCATTTGGCATGAGTTAGTAAATCCTTACCTTCATGCCAGTGATGGGACACTCAGCATGTCGCCAAGCAATGTCACCAGCATATCTTTCAAAAACACAAATCATGTTGGGTTGAACATATGGTGTTCCATCAGCAGAGGCAAACACACCATCCATGTAATAAGCATTTCTTGGGCAATCATTCAAAGGGTCTAGAGGCATTGCTTGCAACCCAAGTCCATACTCACCAGCATCCATATATGTCTTAAAGTACCACGCATCTGTGGGGTCCATATAAGGCACAAATAACTCAGATGTGAACCCTTTATACATAACATTTCTCATCTTTAATGTATCTGGGTCTCTCACTTTGGCTTGAGAAATTATGGTCCCAGCTCTTGGGTCAGCCTTCAAATGAAATTCCCAATTTGCCCATTTCACAACATGTCCATCAATTGTAAAGCTTGGACCTTTTGGTTGTTCTATGGATATTGGATTGACTAAGTTCAACTCTCCATTGAGCTTCTGAATTGAGTAACGGTAATCAGTGTCAATACCATTTGCCACAGGGATATTTTGGCCATTATCTGAAATTGCCACTACTTCTTTTCTATCCATGTCAACTATCACAGTTAAACCTTCAATTGGTTTCATGTAGAAGTTCACAGTGTCTTTTTTGGAATAGCATTGAACCTTAATCAACCTTCTATTCTCTTCCAATGTTGTGCCATACCACCCTGAAGAAATTGGCAAGCATGAAAGATCTGCTATGTTGACCCCACGTTTAGTTATTGTGTGGTTGAACTCAATGCTCTTCAATGGAACATTAAGTACCCCAACCATGTCCTCTATGGTCATTTGGGGGTACCCAGAAATGGAGGGTGTTTCATGGCTTGTTACTTGGCTTGTGGTGAGGTCTATTGTGAGTGTATGAGAGACACCCTTCACAATTGCAACAATGGAAGCTATCCTAGGCAAGGGTGTGTCCCCTTTTTTCCATTTGAGGACAAGGTTTTTGTCTGGTTCTTCTAGGACAATGGAGTTGAGAGTGTAGCTGGATGAGGACTTAAAGAGAGGGTGAGTGGAGAGAATGGTGCGAACCTTGTTGAGTTCTTGGATGGTTAGAGGGTCTAGAGGGTGGTGAGGAACATCAGATTCATGTTTGTGATGTGTGGAGAGTGGTGGTTTCTTTATCAGATTTGGCTTTGTGAAAGAGTGGAAACGATTCTTGGAGGTGCACCATCCAGAATAAAGGTTGCAATCTAGAGTCTCCTTGTTGGTGAGTGATGGAAAGTGAACCCAAGTCACAAGGAGAACTAGTGCTACAACAATTGAAAGAACAAGGAAACGCAACATGTTTCTAGCTTCCATGGATCTCTCTCTATCTTTCTCTATGTGTAGGATATTTGTTTTTGAAGTAGAAATTATTTAGAGAATATAAATAGTTAGAAGCCAAAGCATTTGGGAGAAGACTATGGCTATGGCTGAATTTGTAAAATGGAAATGGAGCCCCGCCACTTTAAGTATCCCTTATATATAGGGGTTTGATTATGTGAATCCTGCATATAAATATAAAAAAGTAGCATAGTTTAGTTAGCTATTACTAATATAAAAGTAACATAGGAATCTTAATTCACTTGGATGAAAATTGCTCAGTTTTTTACAGCTTGTAGTAAATTGAACTCCCTCAGATATCACGTTTAGAATAATTGAGGGTCTAAATGCATTACAGCTTGGAAAATTAACATGAAAATGAAACCAAGAATGACTTAAATGTTGTCAATTTTATTTAACAGAAGAGGAAACTAATTTTGAACTGAAATCTTCTGGCTAGAAAATCCTGCATACAAATATAGAAAGGGATTGTCTTTTCTCATGTTGCATAGGAGAAGAGCTATCTCCTACACACACATAGAGAGGAGAGAGAATAAGAAAGAGAAAAAAAATTTAAAATGGGTCCCACGTTTACTTTGTGTCTTATGCATAAGATAACAATCTTATGTAACATAAGATTATTATTTCCTATATAGAAAATGACAGCTTTCATAATGCATTGTAACTTTCAAGCTTAGCCACTTGGACTGTTTTCACTATACAATCATTTTCAAAGCCATAATTAACACTCTTCACAAATATTAGACAAAAAGAATCATACTTGAGTACTTGACCAAGAAAGAAACCCATCCAAACGAATCATACTTGATTATGATTATTTTCAAAAAAGGAACTTGCAAGATGATTGGGAAATTTGGCTCCAAATATGTACGATAATGTTACTTGCAAATCAAACTAAACTAGAATTCACCATAGCCACACCTAACACATATAGCAGCTAGTAATCTCATTATATTAGAAGTTTCTATCTTAAATCAAGTTGTGCCCCCCCCTATGCAGAGACATAAGCAGTGTAATATAGAAGCTGGTGTAGGTAAGTCAAACAATTTTCTCGTTCTCTACATAAGCAACAAACCAAACAGAGCATCTATTTAAACAGGTCTTGGTAACTTCATTGAACAAATAAAACAAGACTTTATCAAGACAAGGAAACAACTAACCATTCAAATCAAAGAACATGTGCATAAAAGCATCAAGAAAAAGAACCATATTTATTAACAATTTCCCTAGACAAATCCTTCAAAAAAGTCCCAACATCTGAAGGGGGAACCACGTGAGGAAATTAAGAGAGGTTACAGAGGACAGAAGAAAAGGAATAGAAACATAGTTAATTCATCCTTTCTTTTCTGATTTCTATTACATGGTTTATATAATATCAGCAGTTACAAGCAGTTATAACATCAGCAGTTATAACTGTAATTAAACAATACAATTTAAATTCAAACGGAAATACATAACTAACCTATTTAAATTATAAAACATACACACCATAAAACTAACATAATTAACTACTCCTAATATTTAAATTATATTAATATAATCCTTCAAATATGGTACTTCTGCTATAACATCCCTTGATTCTAAACCAAAACCCTATAACTTCAAGCATCTGCAACTTGAAGCATAAACACTGCTCAAACCGGATTAATTGAGTAATCGATTAACCAGTGAATATATCCAAATATACAAATTATCTTGTCTAACAATACTTTAAAGACGGGAATAAACAAGAACTGCTCTTACCTGCAATCAATGATTCATTTTATTTTCCCTTCATTTACATAACTGTAGCAAGAGGCCTATTTCTCAATTAGTGCACAAAAGGGTCCAAGAATCAGTGAAGAAAAAGTGGAGGGGTATCAAGTATGATATAGAGGGGTGTGAAAAAGTCAATGTTGATACGCTTCAAGGAATGTGTGGTGAGGATTGGAAATATAACCAGCATATGATATGAGATATTTTGATACTGCTAGTGCTACACGACACAATCACTGACGTGTTCAAGCACAAAAAACTGCACTGATACTTCATCATTGGGTTTTGCAATTTCAAAGCAAACATCGAACATGATTCATGACTTGGCAATTGCTCATCTAACTTGGCATTATTCACGCGTGTTTGAATATTCAAGATTCCTACCTTTGTTTTTGCTATCAGTATCTAGTGACTGCCAAAACCAAATGGCTATTATCTTTACGTGTTAGTGGATATTTTTTTGATTCCACTCACCTAAACTCTAAACTCAACTGCTTGTCTTATAGCCAATTTTTTTTTAATATCAACTGCTTTCTGAAATTTTAATGTACATGACGAATTGATTTCAGTTTGTGTTTCTCTACCCTTTTAGGAATTACGATTATAATCTCAGTAAAATTTTACGATCCAATTAGGTCTCCACTAAACCAACAACATCTTTGGGTATAATTGAATCCATTTTAACCAAATAGGACATTAGGATACGCTCAAGCCTATGACAATTATTATGCGGTTTGAAAAATTGCTATAACATAGTTGAAATAGAGGTAAAGTTTTACTATATTATAACTTGGATATGTCACAACTGTTGCTCTAAATTGTTAGTTTCTAAATGTTTTCTTTTTGAAAATGACTCATATAAAGTTAGTTTGGTATGCTTTCAAAAATGAAAATAAAAACAGACAGGGATTAGGTGAGGGAGACACAGAGAAGAAAAAAATGAAAAGGCTCCCGATAGAAAATGATTGAAACCAACACCAATCGGCAAAATAAAAAAGCAAATAAAAAACACCATCTACACTAATTTACCAAAAATTCTTAGTACTAGCTTAGTACCTATCACATCACCATTGAATTAAAGAGAGAGAATGTTAAAAAGTTTTTGAAGAGAGAGAAAATGTTAATCTAATAATGATTAGATAGATAATAAGTTGGTAATGAAAAAATTTAGTAATGAAAAATTTTGGTAGTGAGAATATCCTTCCTCTTAATTTACAATAAAGTCGGTTAAAACTATAATTTGCGGTAGTTTCCGATAAAAGTAATTTTTCTAGTCAATAAAATAGTCACTATTGTGTTTACCAAAAAAAAAAAAATAGTCACTATTGCTTTTATCAAAAATAAAAAACAAAAAAATGGTCGCTGTTGTGGGCATCACAATACTATTTTCTTGAGTAAATACCATTTTTGGTCCCTAACAAAAAATACGGTCTCCACTTTAGTCTCTTACAAAAAAAAATTAGTCAGTTGGTGCCTAACAAATTCAAAGTGGACCAATTTAGTTGAAATCGTGGTCCCTCACAATTTCAAAAAAGACCCATATTAATCCCTCAAAAGGACTAAAATGGGTTCACTTTGAATTTATTAGGGACCAACTGACTAATTTTTTTTGTAAGGGACTAAAGTGGGGACCGTATTTTTTGTTTGGGACCCAAAATGGTATTTACTCATTTTTCTTCTTGTTTTTTAGGTAGTGTTTGGTTGGGGAGTTTTCAAAATTTTCCCAAGTACATGTAGGTTTGTCATTTGTCCATGTTTGGTTGAAGGATTCAGGAGATTTACCCATCAAACACCGTTGCCTAGCAATTGAGAAATGCATGTAAAAAAGGTAATAATGCACTATTGCCTAGCAATTGAGAAATGCATGTAAAAAAGGTAATAATGCACTATTAACAAAGCCCTCTCCCAACGTGGTATTGTATGAAAACTGGATAAATGGAAAAAGGGAATGAAAATAGTGACAAGTTTACCCCTCTTCTAAACCACATGTGAGCAAAGTATCTACCCCTCTTCGTAATTTTCATTCTTTTTCCCATCAAAATTTTATTTTCAACCAAACATACATCAGGATATTTAACCAAATTTTCCCAGTAATATTTTGCGATACCAAACAATTTTTTTTCAACTTTCCTACCAAACTTACTTTCCAACATTTTTCCTTGTAATTACATTTTCCCAGTAAAAAAAATTTCTCCCGAACCAAATATTACCGTACGATTTTTGTAACCGTTAATACAACCACTATTATTTGTACTATATTATATACAATTTTTTTTTTTTTTTGGTAATCTGAAAGGCTAAAGCCAGCCCCACAGAAACTAAATTAAATTAACTTTGCCAAAAGAACAAACATGAGAAAAGTCTACTAGATACTGCAACCAGATACCATAGGGGTGAGTAGGGAAAACACAAGCAAACTTTCAGTACCACCGTCGTTGGTACTACTTTTCTTAAATTAAAAAATAATTAGGATATAAAAGGAAATAAGTAAAAAGTAAGGGATTAAAATGAAAAACAAATTTCCTGTTTTAGTAAAAAGATGCACCCAACTCAGTACAACGGTAGTATTTAAAAAATTTTCGGAACACACATAAATTATCTCTCATGTGGCTCATATGGAGCATTCCATCCATATATATAGCCTAAACCAAATGGTTATGATGAACGTGGGTAGTTATGGAAACCCAGTCTGAGATCATGGTAGGACCCTAAGATCGTACAAATACGTGGGCCTTCTACTCGGCTAAGTGGTTAATCCAGGCTCGTGACCCAAGTAAGACAAAAGTACCTATTGCAACTATACTCGGGCACAAATCCCTTTGGATATTGGAGGGAGACTTTTCAGAAATCCGGAACATTAAGTTCCGAGCTCGGAGTATAATTTCTAATTTACTCCGAGTTAATGATATAATTAGAGCCGACAAAACGGGCTCGGCTCGGCGGGCCAACCCGCCCAACTCGCTAAACGGGGCGGGGTGGGCTGAGTTTTTTAACTCATCTCAAAAGCGGGGCGGGGCGGGCTCATTTTTTGGCGGGTTGATGGCGGGCATAGGCGGGCCGATGTGGGTCAGTGTAAAATAGGCTCGGGCTGGCGGACCAACCCGCCCAACCGGCCAAACGGGGAGGGGCAGGCTAAGTTTTTGAGCCCACTTTCAAAAGCAGGACGTGACGAGCTGGCTTATTTTTTGACGGATTGATGGGGGGCGGGGTGGGCGAGCGGGCCGCCCACTTTTCCACCTCTAGATATAATGTCTGTTAGTTTGGTTTCAATCTTCTAGAAGTCATTATTTCTTTCAATGATCCCAACACGTTCATCAATGAATAGATATAATCAATACCCACCAGACCCCATTTCCGAGTCAATATGGGCGGGGCGGGGCGGGCCGCCCACTTTACCACCTCTAGATATAATGTCTGTTAGTTTGGTTTCAACCTTCTAGAAGTCCTTATTTCTTTCAAGAGTAAACACCCTTTTTAGTCCCTGTCAATATCTACGAAATCCTTTTTAGTCCCTGGCAATAAAAAAGGACCAAATTGGTCCCTGAAATTACAAAAAAAGGACCATGTTAGTCCTTATGTCAACTCCCAAATATGTAGAGTGGCCCTTTTCTTGTACTTTCAGGGACCAATTTGGTCCTTTTTCATTGGCAGGGACTGAAAAGGACTTCGTAGATATTGCCAGGGACTAAAAATGATGTTTACTCTTCTTTCAATGATCCCAGCACGTTCATCAATGAATAGATATAATCAATACCCACAAGACCCCAATCCCGAGTCAATATTTTTGCTCATTCGTGGCTTTCATTGGAATAATTAGCAACCGAATTGTTTTTTTTTTTTAGTACAATGTGAACGTGCTAAATTACGTCTGATTATTTATTGGGCCCACACTTGGCCACCATCATCATCTTTATTGTTAAAACTGCAACGTGTTTCCATCTCTGATGTAGGATGAAGGTTATAAATTTTTCAATTTATTTATTATCAAATTTAAGAGTAAACGTAGTTAAGTCCTAAAAAATACAATTGTTATCACTTTTATATTCTAAAAGAATCTTCTTCTTTTTTCGGTGTATGAATTTTTATATTGTTTTGTTTAGTACTTCAGTCATGAAAAACGACGTTAAAATCGTCATTTCATGTGCAAAGTCTAAAAGATTCTCTCAATAATTGTGTTGATCTTCCTCGCTTATTATCATGCCTTACTCTTGTTTGCGTGCCATTTTTTATGATCAAATAACTAAATTTCATTTTTTCTTTTTTCTTTTTGAAGAACCAAATAATATCACTTCTTATTGGTGATAAACTAAATTGATGTAAATTTTGTTGAAAATAACAAAACAGTAAAGGTGTTTACTCTAAATTTAAAAATATTAAATAAATAGTAGTTTAAATTATTCTAAATGAATAATTAATTTAAATTAAAAATAAGGGAAAATTAAATTAATCTCGAACCTCTTTTTTTTTTTCCCTGTGATTAAGTTGATCTTTAATTTTCGTAGGCCAAACTCATGCCATCGATTGGTATATGAATACGATGTATACAGTTGCCAAAGGTGTGGAGTGCACTGCGTTTGAGTTCTTTACCGCATTATGGCTTCAAATGACAGTGGTCACGGGCACATTTGGTATGCCCTAAGTAATTTTTTTTGTAATGAACAGATTATTAGGATGCATGATAAGTTTTTGGTACATTGGATAAGAAAGAAAAAGAGGATTACTTCAAAATTTGCATACCTGAAACTCTTCCCTCTACACTTTCTGTTTTTTCTTCTTCTTCTCAATATGCATCTCCTTCTGCCTTCTTTTTGGATCTAGATGGAGCTCCTCAGTTCCCTTTGTCTTGGAACCGAAATCATTACACGACTTCAGCAAAAACATTTTTAACTAACTCAAAGAACCTGACTAACGAGGAATTTCAAACCTACACTTGGTTTAAAGACCTAGATGCTCAACTAACCAAGCAAAATGCTTCTATTGTTCCCCGCTCCATTCTAGACTATAAAGATTATTGTGACTGGATTCGCAGAAAATTGACTAAGGGACCTAACATTATCATCTCATGCTTTTATATCTCTAATATGTCTAACTCGCTTCTCCCCCCCCCCCCCTCCCCTTTTTTAGATAAATTCATGGATCCTGCATTTTTCGCTCGGATGAAGAAGAAAGCATCTCGGACTGACACTGCTTCTATTTCTGGCGACAAGGACCCTTCTCCTACTCCTTCTTCTATTCCAGCTACTTCTGCTACGAGTTCTATTCCCGGAGATACTATTATGGCTGATGTAGAGACACAAGTGGATTCTGACGAGCACCGTCAAAGGAAACGAGTTAGGATTGATGAACCTACCCCAGATTCAAACGCTGCTGAAAGGGTTTTAACGCCTCCGACTTTTATGGTTGCTACCCCATCTTCAGGCCCCCATTTTTAAAATGAATTGCAGCCCTGTTTTATTGCCGGACTTCGTGAAAAATGGGACAAGTTTTCTTTAGATCAACTTATTTCTAAGTTCACTGCTATTTGAGATAATGATCTCCAGGAAGCACATTACTTTGAAATGGCTCTCTTAGCTTTGGTTGAACGCCAACAACTTCTCACCGACCTCAAGAACTTCCATGCTGAGAAAGAACGCCTTACTCAACGGGCTGAAGCCGCCGAGTCCACAGCTCATGGTTTCCAAGTTAAACTTAAAGAAACTGAAAAAGTAGTCGTTGTTGCTGAAGAAGCTGCCAAAAAGTCAAGTGATGAAGTATAAATTGTTAAAAAAGATTATTCAGACTTAACTAAAGAGCGTGATCGTTTGAATAAGAACTTTGAAGATTCTGACTTCCGAGTAGTCGAACTAGAACTAGAAGTGGACGGTTTGAAGAAGAACATTTCTGGTTTACAACGGGCTGCAGAGGAAATGGATTCTAAATTTGTAGCTTATGGCCATCAAATTCGTGGTTGGGTGTTAGATCAGGTTGGCTTCTTCAACCCAAAAATCTCTCTTCAGGACTTACATAAAATTGAAACTTTCAACTTCGTCCAAGACGGCCAATTGTGTACTCATGGCGAGGAAGGTCAGATTGTTGTCCTTGCAACCTGCCCATCTGAATATGTCAGCTTGAACTCGGATTCTGGTATTAATGCCTCAGAGGAAGTTCCTAAAGAAACTTGAAGGGGTGGGATGCCACTTTAAAATGTATTTCTTTTATGGGAAAAGGTAAAACTATTCCTCCGCTTTTTTCTTGTGTCATGGAAAGCAATAACCGTGACGAGCGAGCGGTGGAGAACGGAAATATTGGAGGTGGGGAGGAGGATTCTTTCCGATCCAGTGGGAGGAGTCGTTCTCTAAATACAATTGGACAAGCTTTGATCCAGTTGGCAGAAGATATAAGGAATAGACATTACCAAGAAGGAGGAGGAATGAGGCATCATTCAGAAGAGAGACAAGAGGAAGAGAATGTGCAACATTGCAGAAACAGGGGAAGAGGTTCTTTATCTCCTCTTCCTAGTTATATTCCATTATCTCATCCAACAAAAGGAGAAAATAGAAGAGCAGAGGGTCGAAGAGTACGAAGCCCTCCAGAAAGGATGAATCATCAAAGCAGAGGACATGGGATAAGTCGGAGAACTGAAGAGTGAGAACAGGTAGAGCATGCTCGAGAGATGGGAAGGAGTTGGCAATACCGTTAAGCAGAAGGCGGGCAAGCAGGTTGGGAACAACAGGAGGAAGATCAACAAGAAGCAAGCCGCCAGTATTATACTCATCAAGATGAAAGGTGGAAAAATCAAAGGCAACATGAAGAAGCTTATATGTAACGCCTGACAACTTGCAAGGATCAATGACTGTCCCCACACACTAACACGAGACTTTTCAGCTTGTTTTGTCCTCACTCGCACACTTCCCGGGAAAACTTCTCAGGAGGTCACCCATCCCAGAATTGCCCCAAGTCAAGCACACTTAACTATGGAGTTCTTCCGTTCCGGGCTACCGAAAAGTAGATGCATCTTGTTAGTATAGGTAGTACCAATTAATTCTTATAAGCCATTCCTAGCTGTACCGTCCCATACCAGCACAGTCTCCGAAATCCCTCTCTTTCGGGTGCTGATTCGATTCATTCATGAATCCCCAAGCTGCAAGATTTGGCATGAGCCGCTCATTGTCCGTGCCCTTTCACACCGGCGATCACTCTCTGCCCTTGCCAGCTCTTGGGATGTTACATGCCCACCAGCTTCCGCCTGGTTCGTCCTCGAACCACACCGTACTGGAAGAGAGGCCCTGCTCTGATACCACTTGTAACGCCTGGCAACTTGCAAGGATCAACGACTTTCCCCACACATTAACACGAGACTTTTCAGCTTGCTTTGTCCTCACTCGCACACTTCCCGGGAAAACTTCCCAGGAGGTCACCCATCCCAGAATTGCCCCAAGTCAAGCACGCTTAACTATGGAGTTCTTCCGTTCCGGGCTATCGAAAAGTAGATGCATCTTGTTAGTATAGGTAGTACCAATTAATTCTTATAAGCCATTCCTAACTTTACCGTCCCATACCAGCACAGTCTCCGAAATCCCTCTCTTTCGGGTGTTGATTCGATTCATTCATGAACCCCCAAGCTGCAAGATTTGGCATGAGCCGCTCATTGTCCGTGCCCTTTCACACCGACGATCACTCTCTGCCCTTGCCAGCTCTTGGGATGTTACATTATAGAAGAAGGAGGCCGGAAAGAGAGGGGTTTTACAACAATCATATAGGAGAGTTCCCGCCAGAGGAAACCGGGTATTATTTTGTATGGGAAAGAGAAGATCAAGGCGAGAGAGGAGGTCAACATCAGGCGGGTAATCCAAGAAGCAATCTGGGTTATCAGTATTATGGACAAGACCGCCAAGATGCATATAGGGCTCAGCATTATGAAGGACAAATGATGAATGTATGACAAGAAGGGCCCGGTTTGAACAGACAAACTTGAGGGGCACCACATTAGACACAATTTAAACAGGGAATTCCCATAAGGCCTATTAACCCAGGCCATCAGGAACCCCATTGTCTTGGAGGTTAAGAGCAGAGCCTATTCCAACTTGGTTTAGGTAGCCAAACGATATGAACGCGTATGATGGAAGCTCGGATCCCAGAGAGTTTGTAATGGTATTCCCAACAACAATGTGATTGTGTGGAGAGTCAGACTCTCTGCTATGTAGGACATTCCCCGTTTTTCTAAGAAAACAAGCATTAGAATGGTTTAGAGCCTTACCAGACAATTCAATTGATAGTTGGGCGGAACTGTCACTGCGATTTACACAACAATTTTCTCATTGTGGACCCCAGCCTAAAACTACACTCGATTTATGTGGGGCAAGGCAAAATCCCAGTGAGAAGTTGAGAGAATATTATGAGCGTTTTCAAGCGGAAGCTAGACAAGTCAGAGGGTTGGAGAATCAAACGTATTTGTTGTTATTCACTACCGGGTTACAACCAGGAGGGTTGGCGTACTCGTTGGCAAAAAAGAGTCCGGCTACGAATGAGGAGTTGTTGGAAAGAATTCGAAAGTACATTCATCTGGAGGAATTTAAAACCTCTCAAAAACAAATTGAGCAAGGTTTTCGAGAAGAAATGCAAAATAGGAGGCCGGATAGACCTGCGGGGAGAGGTCAGTTTGAAGAAAGGCAGCCTCGCTTAGTCGGAGAAAGATTCTTAGAAGCATACAGGAAGGAGTTTATGCCGTTGAATACTTCTAGAGCTCAGATATTGAAGGAGGTAATGACTACATAAATGATAAATGTTCCCAGGCCGCCACCTATTAGGTCCAGTTACGCGCAGGCTGATAAGACAAACTGGTGCGAGTTTCATAGAGGGTATGGGCATTTCACAAACGATTGCTTTAATTTACAGAATGTTATTGAACGATTAATTAAGGAGGGAAAGTTGCAAAAGTATGTGAGAAGGGGAGAAGGAGAAGCATGTAGAGAAAGAGACGATAAAGGCAGGCGACCAGATCGAAGTCGCAGCCCGCCCGGAGGAAGAGGTAGAAAAACAAATAGGGGCCAAAAGATAGAAGTACAGACATCACCCAGCCAAGTACAGGTGGGGCACATATGCACTATAGCAGGAGGGCGAGCTCGAGGTGGAGAATCAGGTAATGCTCGAAAAAAGCATTTAAAAATGTGTATGGCTATTTCTGAGAAGCCTCGTTTTAAAGAAGAAAGAAGAAAGACGGGTAAACAGATAGTGTTTGAAGATTTGGATGATGAGATTTTGGATCCGAAGCATGACGATCCTTTAGTTATTTCAGGATTATTAGCAAACTATCGAGTTGATAGGATGTTAGTATATCCTGGGATCTCGGTGGACATTATATTTTGGGATGCATTTAGGAGGATGGATTTAGATTGTGATCAGCTGGAGCCATGTGGAGCTGATTTGTTGGCCTTCACAGGAGATAAAATTAAGCCATTGGGATACATACCATTAAAATTAACACTAGGCAAGGCGCCTACACACAAGATAGTGACTTTGTCGTTTGCAGTTGTGGATTTGGGGTCTGTGTACAACATTATTTTGGGAAGATCGTTCATGAAGAAGTTCAAGATCTTCTTGTCAATAAATCAGTTGGCTATGAAATTCGTGGCCAAAGATGGAAATATAGCTACAGTAAGGGCGGATCAGGTGGTCACTCGAAGTTGTTATGACATGAGTTTAAGGATTCCACATGAAAGCAAGAAAGAAAAAGTAAAAGTAGAAGAAATAAGGCCAGAGGGAGGTAAAATGATGGAGTAAAAAGAGCAGGCGGGTAAGAAGGAAGAGAAAGAAGAGCCGCGAGTAATGATAGTAGAGATGGATCCCTGAGTTGAAATTAATAGAGAGACCAGAGCCCGCTGGAGTAATGGTGGAAGTCTAGTTAGGAGCATTGCAGGAGCAAGTTACAAAAGTAGGTTCCGAGTTAGAACTGGAGGTGGCAGTAGACTTGAAAGAATTGTTGAAAAAGAATGCTGATCCATTTGCATGGAAGCGTTCAGATATGCCCGGGATGGATTCAGCTTTGTCTTGTCACCGATTGGCAATAGTTCTTGGCTCGAAGCCAGTGGCTCAGAAGAAAAGGAGGTTCTGCGCGGAAAGGAGGAAAGTGATTGAGGAAAAAACCAAAGAGTTGTTGGAAGCCATATTTATTAGAGAGATAGAGTATGTAACATGGCTAGCCAACCCAGTGTTAATTAAGAAACCGGATGGTAGATGGAAGATGTACAGATTTGAATAAAGTCTTCCCCAAGGACCCGTTTCCACTTCCGAGTATTGATCATCTAGTGGATAGTGCATCTGGGTACAAGGTATTATCGTTTATGGATGCGTATTCTGGGTACAATCAGATACCGTCGTGGAAGGAGGATCAAGAGAAAACAGCTTTCATAACTGAGGATGCAGTGTATTGTTACAATGTAATGTCGTTTGGATTAAAGAATGCAGGAGTGATAAACCCTTGGTTTACCATATTTTTAGGCTAAATTATACAAGAATTATATGGTAGATTGCATGGAATTCAAGGTGTTATATGATAAAATCATAAAGATTTGAAAATTGAGCTAATGTTTTGATATCTTGCTAATTTTGAAGGTAAATCCACAAGATTTGGTGCTAAGAAGTGATAAAGGAATCATAACAAAGATTTGAAGCCCAATCTGTAGGATCTTAGAGGAAAAAAGGAAACAAATATGATTTGATTGAGAATAGATAGAGATCTATGGGGAAATTTGATGAGGAATTAAAAAAAGATGTGGTCTCTAAGGTTATAAATAGGGAGCTCAAGGTCAAGGGACTCATTCACAGACACACCACGGGAAATACACAAAGACCCAAAGGAGGAATCCTGTTGCGGAGCGTTGGAGCACTGGGGAACCAAGTCAACATCACACCAATGGAGGCTTGGAGAACTATTTTCTTTCTTATTGCTTTTGAATTCAGTATGCTAGGCTAAGTTTTTCTGTAGTTAGGGGTAGATAGAACCTAATTGAATCCTTATGTTTATGAATTAAATTGTCTCTTAATTCTTCTCTTTTTATATTTGAATAAATTTTTATGTCTTTAATGCTTTCAATGAGTTTGCTCCTTATACATTGATTTAGGAGAATTGTATGACAATAGGGATGTTGGTGCATGAACCCTGATTTGATAAATTTATCACAATCCTTGTGATCTAGGGATAGACATAGGGAAATTGTGCAATCTTTAAATTCTTGATCTTAATGCATGTTTTCTTAGGGAATAATCGGGGAATTAGAGTTCTTTCAAGATCACATAGCTTTAGGGTAACAAGGAATTAAGCCCTAATTAACTTAGAAAGAATTGAGTGGCATTATATTAAGAGCAGATTCTTGACAGTTTAATTCATAGCATATAGAGGAGATTGGGGGAAGTCGAAACGCTAACTATGCGTGTTTTAAATCTTTAATCAATCATCTTTTCATTTGCTTTCTAATTTTGAATTTTAATTTGCATGTTATTAATTGTTTTTAATTTCACTTCTCTTCATCTCAATCTTTGTTGTCCAACTAAATCGTTGTTAGCGAACTAGTGCTTGAAAACCAATCCTCGTGAGAACGATCTCGTACTCAGTACACTTTTATTACTTTTACGACTGGTGCACTTGTTGAAGTCGCAACAAGTTTTTGGCGCCGTTGCTGGGGATAAACACTTTTATTACTTGCTGACCGGTGCACTTTTATCAAACATTGTCGTTTATGGATGCGTATTCCGGGTACAATCAGATATCGTTGTGGAAGGAGGATCAAGAGAAAACGGCTTTCATAACTGAGGATGCAGTATTTTGTTACAATGTGATGCCGTTTGGATTAAAGAATGCAGGAGCAACTTACATGAGAGTGATGAACAAAGTATTTAAGGAGCAGATGGGTAAAATGTTGGAGGTTTACATGGATGACATGATTGTGAAGTCAGGAGATGGTAAAACACATTTGGTGGACTTGCAAGAAGTTTTTGAGCAAGTCAGGAAGCATAATATGCTATGAATCCAACTAAGTGTGCCTTCGGGGTCCCGACGGGAAAGTTTTTGGGATTTCTTTTGACAGAAAGGGGGATTGAGGCCAACCCGGATAAATGTAGAGCTGTGCTAGAAATGAAGAGCCCGAAAAAATTAGGGATGTCCAGAAGCTGAATGGGCGAGTAACGACATTATCTAGATTCGTAGCAAAGTCGGCACACGTTTCTTTGCCACTGTTTCAATTGTTAAAAAAGGGAAGTAATTTTGTTTGGACAGAAGAGTGCAAAGTCGCCTTTCAACATTTCAAGAAAATTTTAGCTTCACCTCCAATTTTAAGCAAGCCGGAACCAGGTGAGCTATTATTTTTGTATTTGTCTGTTTCGCAGGAAGCAGTCAGCTCAGTTCTCGTCCAAGAAGGAGAAGATGGTAAGCAAAAACCAGTGTACTTTATAAGCAAGGTACTGCAAGGTGCTGAGGTGAGATACCAGCATGTAGAAAAAGTGGCGTTTGCATTTTTAATTACAGCAAGAAGGCTTCGTCCTTATTTTCAGTGCCACCAAATAATAGTTAGAACCAATCAGCCAATCAAGCACATGTTGCATAAACCGGATCTTGCAGGTCGGATGGCGGCATGGGCAGTAGAGTTATCTGAATTTTGAATCTGTTATGATGCACAGACAACAATTAAAGCACAAGCTTTGGCAGATTTTGTGGTGGAAATGACGCATCCCGAAAGTACACAAGAAGATAGTTGGTGGAAGTTATTTGTGGACAGATCATCCAATAAAAGAGGCAGTGGAGTAGGGATTATAATAGAGAACCCGGAGGGGGTAACAATAGAACATTCATTGACGTTGGAGTTTCCCACAAGTAATAATCATGAAGAGTATGAAGCAATGATCGATGGGTTAATTCAAGCAAGGGAGCTCAGAGCAGAATGTTTGGAAGTGTATAGCGATTCACAATTGGTGACATCGCGGATAAGTGGGGTTTACCAGGCTAGAGGGGAAGTTATGATCAAATATTTAGCAAGAGTACAAGAATCGATGAAAGAGTTTAAAGAAGTCAGAGTGGAACATATCCAGAGAAATGACAATGTCCGAGCAGATGTTTTGTCAAAACTAACGAGTACCAAAGCCACAGGGAATTTGAGGACAATTATACAGCAGAGCATCCGGGTACCGAGGGTAGTTTGGATGGTGGAAGAAGGAGATTGGAGGAATCCGATTCAAGATTTTTTAGAAAAGGAGAAGAGCTCAAAGATAAGATGGAAGTGAGTAAGTTGAGGAGAAGATTTGCATGGTTCGTGGTGATAGAAGGACAGTTGTATAGAAGAGGGATTAACTCGCCTTTACTGAAATGCATAGCCCCGCCGAATACTGAGTATGTATTAGATGAAATCCATGAAGCTATTAATGGACATCATCTTGGAAGAAAGTCCTTGGCGAGAAAAGCTATACGAGCAGGGTATTTTTGGCTGACAATAGGGGAGGATGCCAAAAAACATGTACAAAGGTGTGAGCAATGTTAGAAACTTTCCAATATATACAAAGCTCCTCCAGAAGAGTTATTCACGATCTCGTCCCCATGGCCATTTTTTAAATGGGGAATGGAACTTTTAGGCTCATTTCCCAAAGCAGCTGGAGGAGTTAAGTATTTGATTGTTGCAGCAGACTATTTCACAAAGTGGATAGAGGCAGAACCCGTGGCAAGTATTACTGCTCGGAAAGTCCAAAAGTTCTTTATTGGGAAGATAGTTTGCAGGTTTGGTATCCCGGCTATAATCATTACGGACAATGGGACTCAGTTCATAGATAAAAAGTTGTGACAAGCGGTGGTCGACTTAGAGGTGAAGCATCACTTTGCAGCAGTGGAACATCCACGGACAAATGGGCAGGTAGAGTCTGCGAATAAAATTTTGACGAACGGGTTGAAAAGGAGAGTTGAAGGGTGTAAAGGAAATTGGGTGGAAGAGTTAGACAATGTGTTATGGGGTTACAGAACTTCAGTACAGTCTAGTATTCAAGAAACCCCATTCAGGATGACATACGGGTTTGATGCAATGTTACCAGTGGAGGTTGGAAAACCATCATGGAGAAGGAAAATGATGCAAGAAGAAAAGGAAGAAGAGAACAATGAAAAGATGAAGATTGATTTACAGTTACTGGAAGAAGAAAGAGAGAAGACAGCAATGGTGGAAATGACATCCAAACAGCGAGCAGCAACAACGTATAATCAGATGGTGGTAAAAAGGTCATTTGAAGTTGGAGATCTGGTGCTCAGGCGGCCAGATGTGGGAAATAAAAATGCAGGAGATGGTAAGTTGGCAGCAAACTGGGAAGGTCCATACCGAATAACGACTTCTACTAACACAGGAGCTTATCAAGTAGAGCATTTGGATGGGAAAACAATTCCAAGGTATTGGAATGCTGGGAAGTTAAAAAGGTATTTTAGTTAAGGAACTCGTTTTAAGTAGACATAGGATGTTGAAGTTGTAATTTTAGCAGTTTATTTTAAATAGATTGTTTTAGGAAGTTTATGGTTTTGTTTTTAGTATTTTCAGTTATAACCTTTGAATTCAATAATACAAGCGAGTTCTGACAACAATTTTTGGTATATGGAGAACATAAAGTCCCTTGTCGCCAGAATTGGCCTCTTGGGCACCCGTACAATTCCAACTCGGAAACGGAAAAACAAAGTCCCTTGCCGCCAGAATTGGCCTCTTGGGCACCCGTCTAATTCCAACTCAAAAATGGTAAAACAAAGTACCTTGCCGCCATAATTG